ATGGGACATGGCGTGCACATGATGAGCATTATTTAATTTCACTCTGAAATGGACCTCATATAATATCATATCTAACTTTAAATTAAACTATCACTTGTTGAATTCTTTAGTTGCTTGGGAAGATAGTATCCATTCTGGGTCATTTACACCAACAATATAATATAGTTTTAGAACACAGATAAAATGACCACATTCCTCTCATCCTATATAATAAAAGCCTAATATGCAAATTGTCCCCTTGACTGGGAGTTTGATTGGCAGTTTAATTGTTCGTTATGATGTATGCTGACCAGCAGGGGGCAGTGCAAAATACGGCTGGAGATGACTCAAGCAGAGGGGGGCACATGGAGACTCAGAGGCCCAGGTGCTGCCCAGGGCCCAGAGGTCTGCTGGGACCTGCCCTTCCATTGCCAGTGCTTCCATTGCCAGCCAGGCCTAGTGACTGCACCTGTGCACGAATTTCATGCACTGGGCCTCTAGCTAGTCCTAAATAAAATGTTTCCTCAAAAATGGCAACTTTCCCCAGCCAGTGTGGCTCAATGGTTGAGCATCTATCTATGAACCAGGTCACAGTTAGAATCCCGGTCAGGGCACATGCCTGGGTTGCAGGCTTGATCCCCAGTGGAGGCAGCCTATCAATGATTCTTTCATCATTGATGCTTCTCCCGTCCTCTCTGAAATCAATAAAAATATATTTTAAAAATTGCAACTTAGCCCTGGCTGGGTGACTCAATTGGTTGGAGTGTCCTCCTGCACACCAAAAAATTGTGGGTTTGATTCCAGGTCAGGGTACATACTTAGGTTGAGGGTTTGAGCCTCAGTCGGGGCACTTATGGGAGGCAACCAATCAATGTTTTTCTTTCACATAGATATTTCTCTCTCTCTCTCTCTCTCTCTCTCTCTCTCTCTCTCTCTCTCTCTCTCTCTTTCTCTCTCTCTCTCTCCTGTCCTTCCTGAAAATCAATAAATAACATATCCTTGGGTGAGGATACAAAAATTGCAGATTAAAGAATGATTTATACATATCACACAAACAAAAGGAAATTCACAAATTAAGATTCCTCATAACTGTTGAGAACTAACCATGGACTATATATTACTTTAAAGTAGTCATTAACTTTCTATATATGATACCCTTCATTTCAAATGCACTGTTATTATTAGATACAGAGAACAAACTGATGGTTCCAAGTGAGAAGTTGGGTGAAAAAGGGAAGGAATTAAGTACAAATTGGCAGTTACAAAATAGTCACGGGGATGTGAGTTCAGCACAATAGTCAATAATATTGTAATAACATGTATAGTGTCAGGTGGGCACTAGACCTATTTGGAGGGCATCACTTCATAAGTTATATAAATGTCTAACCACTATGCTGTACACCTAAAACATAATATTGAATATCAACTGTCATTGAAAATTATTAACAACTTTAAAAGACAAATATATTGTTACTCAACTGTTTGAATATTACAATAAAACTCCAACCAGATTTATTCTGAAAATAACTAGTAAATGGGAAAGTCACTTAAGTGTTTTCTGCTCTCAAAATCATCTTGATTATTAAAAAGTGTGAAAACATCAGCAACAATATCATTTTTTTGGCATATAAGGATTGAAAAAAATTCCAAAGAAACAAGAACACCTTCTTTTTTACTAGGGCTGTGAAGAAAGCCTCCAAAAAATGTTCTTACTGATCAAGTAACATGAAAATACCTTAAGGAAAGAATTCCCAGCAGATGGGAAGGGGGGGGGGAAAGCCCGCATTTAATTTAGAAGTCAGTCTTCTCTCCAGAGAAGACTCTCCATTCCTCACTCCAAGAACCCTTAAAGAAAAAAACACGTAAATGAATTTGCACATTATATTTCAAGGAACTATAATTACATTTCTTGCCTTCCTTTCCCCTCCTTTTTTTTCTTTTCTTTGTTTCCTATGAGATTTGCTTGCTTCTTGAGTTGGACATATGACCGAAGCAGAAAAGACGAGCAGAGGGAAAAATTCATGTGAGCCATTGGCTTTGAAAATGGCATCAACAGAGAATCTGAAGATACAAATTAGTCTATAAACGTAGGGTGCATATGTTGCCAGAACTTGACCAAATTGTGTGAAGTAATCACATAAAGTGAAAATATATGTGAAGATTGTGGTCTTGGGTCAGGGTTAAAATCCTCTGTGAGCTCTTTGTAAGCACAGGAGTCACCATTGGAAGCTTTAGCTAAGCAGCAAAACCCCAGGAAATAACCAGTTGCATACTGGGACTTCCTTGGGTGGCTTGAAATCAGCCACGGTGAGTATTTACACCACAGAAATTGGCAAATGCTGCAAATCAGGGCTCCCCCCTCTTTTTTTGGGGGGTGGGGCTAATTGACAATTTAACTACTGAAAACAGCTCTCCATGGGGGTTAACAAAACCCTTAGCACCTGTGACATATTCCTATAGATTTGGTGAGGAGGGCTTTGGAGAATTAATAATTATTCTTTCAAAAGCAGGGCACTTCAAATCCCCATCTTAGTAAGACTTGGTGTTTTATTATTTCTCTTGGATTTCAAATATCTTCAAATCCTTATTAGGAAGGATTTTTCTAAAAAATGGTCCCTGCCTCACTTCTCTTCATTAAAAGCCAAAAGACGCGAGAGGTAAAATATATAGGGGACAGGAAACCTGCTTTCTAGGAAGCAGAGTGATGTCACCTGATAAACTATGTGAAGTCTTTGGACCTGGGTCAAAGCCATGGAGAAACCAGACCTGTTTTTTTTTTTTTTTTTTTTTTTTTCTTGTGTGTGTGTGAATGACAGTGTTAAAGAATGTAACCCCTCTTAACTTCTCTACACCCCGTCCATACAAATTGCTTATACTGATTCAACCCTTAGTGGCAACTCACTTCACACCTCCATTTTCCCCCTCGTTATCACCAAGATTAAACAGCATGTTTGGGCAATATTCTGCATTTATCTAACCTTTTCCGTACAGGCCACACTGACACAACAGACACAACGCAACAGGTTTATGTACCTCACACGTCGGATCCTATCAAGAAACGTGGCCCTGACAGTTTGATAAGAACACCATAGCTTACTGAACTTGTTCTAAAAACAACAGCAGCAAACCACTCATCTCCTCACACTTTTTAATGACCTTGTTCTATGGTGTCCCCATTTTTAGCTGCAGCAGATGCATTGCTGTGTGGCCTCAGAGCATACTGGGAGCGGAGGGCATGTGACAATGTGTTTTTGATATTACACCATTAATTAAAAATTCCAGAGAGATGCGCATTCCCTTCCATTACCTGATGGGAAAAGAGGTCTAGTGTTGCCAACAGGTTCAACCAAAGTGAAAAAATGGCTTGTCAGAAAAGTGAGAAAAAAATTTTCCAGTTGTCCTGGCTGGGTGGCTTAGTCTGTTGATCTGTTGTCCCATACACCAAAAGGTTGTGGGTTTGATTCCCAGTCAGAGCACATACTTACGGTAGGTTGCAGGTTCAATCCCCAGTCAGGGTGCATGTATAGGAGGCAACTGATCAATGTTTCTCTCTCACATATATGTTTCTCTCTCTTCCCCCTTCCTCTCTCTCTCTCTCTCTTAAAAAAAAAAATAATAGAAAACATATCCTTAGGTGAGAATTAAAAAAAAAAAAAGTTGCAGGAGTTGATTTTCTCTGCTCTCCAGAATGTCTAGCATTGTCACAGACAGTGAACAAGAATGCTAACAGGCTTCACTGCTTCAGGAAAACACCATATGGCAAGACAGAAAAGAAAAATAAGCCCAAATAAATGCCAACTTAGAATAAACTGAAAAAGGCTAACTTCTTACATGTTTTCATGTTTGTTTTTTGTCTTTGAACTGATTTTTTTCTTCTTCAATTCATATGGCCCAAACACGCTGCTGTGACATTTCCAAAGACTTTACTATAAGCACATTTAATATCATACAGGATGGGGCAAAAGTAGGTTTATAGTTGTTTGTATGGAAAACAATACTATAATTAATAAACAATAATAGAACAAATTGCATTTTGCATACTCACAACTACCTTTGCCCCACCCTGTATTTAACAGATAATTAATTACATTCTTAAAAAAATGTTATTGGTATAATTCTGTTAAGTTCAAAGTGAATTTTATTATCATGGTGAAATTCTACTGATCAGTTTCTATTCTCTGTGGAATTTCAGAACTTTCTGGTCTTTGTGAATAAATCAGGATAAGATACACTTAACCAACCACCAGAGAGTTTAATTTGTCTATTCTTGGGACAATCTCACACTGGTTATGGTGGTGGACACATTTGAGGAAGAATGACACAGAAACAAATCAAGTGGTAAAAATACATTTCATAATAACTGACAGAGACTTAGCAAGTTTGGAAAACAAAGTTTTGTTTTGTGAATACCTATAATAACCAAGGTTACAACTTTGTGATGAGAAGACAGGACACACTTCTAAACATTGGCTTACTGTTTGGTGGTTTTGAGATTAATTGCCCCACAGTTGAGGGGGCTGGCATTTCCCACTACCCTGTCCCTCTCCTCCTCTTTGAAACTTTCTGCTTCCTGAAGAGAACAAAGGGTTCTTGTTAGTATCGGGAGTCCTGTCTTCTCACCTCAGCTTCTAGATATGATAAAATAAAATAAAAATGCCGAAACCGGTTTGGCTCAATGGATAGAGCGTCAGTCTGCGGACTGAAAGGTCCCAGGTTCGATTCCGGTCAAGGGCATGTACATTGGCTGTGGGCACATCCCCAGTAGGAGGTGTGCAGGAGGCAGCTGATTGATGTCTCTCTCATCAACATTTCTATTCCTTCCTTTCTGTGGAAAATCAATAAAATATATATTTTTTTAAAAGAAAAAAAATGAAATATTTCAGGCATACCAACATGTATAGAGAATACTCTAATGAGGATTAAGCACCCGCCCTCTACCTTAAGCAATAAAACACTACAGACACAAGAAAGGCTCCCTGTATTTCTTCTGCCTGCTCAGAGGTAACCACTATTTCCATACCTGCTACACATGTGTATATCCATAAACAATATATAATGGTGTGTTGTGCATTTTAAATTTTTGAACAGATGGTCTCCTTTTTCATATTATGTTTAAGATAAGCTAATACACATAGCTGGTTTATTGATCTCCACCACTACAAAGTATTTGATAGTAGGGATATACAACACTCATTTATCAATTCTTTGGTTGACACTTCAGTGTATACTCAGTACAGGTCTCCTTGAGCAATGCGTGGGCATTTCTTTAAGGCACAGACCTAGGATTAAATATTTTGAATCACGGGTAGGCACATCTTTAACGTTAGTAGGTACTGCCAATTCCAAGCACTGGATCACCTGCAGTGAGGCCAGGATTAACAAGCTCTCAGGGGTTCAAAGTTTCGACTTCATTCCTTCGGAAGGGGGGAGGAGCGGGGGGAAGGGCAGTGCAGCAAGAATCTGCATTTCTAACATGTCCCCATGTGCTGTTGCTGTAATGTCTGGGACTGTATTTTGAGAACTAGTGTTCTTAGAAAAAGCCTATTGGATGACATTTGAGAGAGAGCAAGCTGATGAGACACTATCTGAAAAGATGTCTCTGGTGAGGTTTTGTGAGGTAACTGATAGTATAGCCTGTGGTATAATTTTAGCATTCCGATTCTAGGAATAAAAACCTGACTAAATATAGATAATATGTAGTAAATAACCCATGTGAGTGAGTGCCATCAAAGGCTGACTTCTCAATGAGCTGCTCTGCCAGAATGGGGCCCCTGCATGTCTCCTGCGGCTACTGTGCGAGGTGAGTGGGCAGGTGGCCGGGGTCAGGCAGCCCAGGGTCAGGCCAGGGTGTGCAGTGAGCTGGACTGACAGTAGCTGTTTTCTTGACTGCATCAGTACAACCCAGGTGTTAACCTTGATGCAGATGTGGACAGTCACGTGGGTGTTCTTCATAATCTAAGGTATGGGCTACTGAGTCCTACTGATTTGGCTATTTTGAGATATTTATGTGGAAAAAAAATCTATCTTTATATTATATATATACATATATATATTTTATTATATTCCAAAGTTAGTATCCTGATGACAGAATACTGAAGAGGTTTTCCTCAAATATTCTTTTTGCAGGAATTTCTTAGAAAAAAAAAATCTCAAAAATGAAGCCTTCACATATTTTGGGGTAAAAAAGCACAAGTAGGCTTGCACGGTCTGCAAACGGTTAACATGAAAACTGGAAAGAAAGTGATTTTATTTCACATTTAACAATATAAAAGGTCAATGCAGAATAAAAGTATGTTCCAGTAACCCAGAGGATGTGTTTGTGTCAGTCCACAATTTATATAACAAGATAACTGGTTTTCAAAACCAGACAAGATGTCAAAGACTTCTTCCCATGCCCTCAATGGTGCTGCTGGGAGCAATGACTGTTCTGAGGTCACGCACTGCAGGCACACTTTCACTTGTTCTGATTGCCAGTCTTCTCCTTCTATCTTCTTTCCTTTTTCTCTCTCATCAGCTTTTTGCTTTCTTCCCTTCTTCTTTTATTCACTGGATTCCGAGGATCATAGATTTCAAATGTGTCCGAGTCCTGCATGCTTGCATCTTTCACTTTTCTGCTTTTATCCTCAAACTGAAGTACATGTGACATCCTAAAGAGGGAGAGAGATGGTCAGTGATGGCAGCGCGGAAATTCTATACTTCCCCATCCTTGGCAAGATGAACTCTAAGGGCCCAGGACCCGAGGGATTTGTTTATTGGTGCTTGTGCCACACGGAAACCAACTTCTCAGAAAACACTTGAATTTGAAAACCGTGTGTGTAGAGTTTGTTCTGCTGGCTTGTATTTCTAGTAGGGAGTGTCGCTGCCTCAGTTTTCACGTGGGGTTCTTTTCCTGATGGGAGGTTAAAGACTTCTACACACAGTGTTCCCCAAACTGAACTCCCGGAACGTGCTGCCAGCTGCCTTAAAGAGCTTACTTTCTTAGCTAGAGAGAGCCTGGCGGCAGAGCAACACTCCTGACTCCTGACAATAAGCCACCCTATCTGATTTTTGTTTCATTTTGTTTTGAGTAGTTAAATGGATCAAGAATAGGTAATGTGGTAAGAAAATTCTTGTTCAAATGGTATTATGACTCCCTTTTCTGTGGAGTAGCTGAGTTAAAGAAATATACATATTTTTCATACAAACAGAAACTAAGCTTTTGGCACAGTTCCGTGGACTAATTTCCTCCTCCTCCTGTTGATTACAACAAATCTAACCACCCTGCTTTCCTGCTTTATCAAATGCTTACTGGCCTTAAAGTATCAACATGTGCTTGACTCATAAGTGGTCATAAGCTGGCTATCCTTAGCCGCAGGGAAACATGTAGGCGATTAGCTCTGTCCCCATTAGGAGGTGTCAGGAATAAATGGGCAAGTCAAAAGACTAGGTTTCAGGGCAGTTGGGGGAGTTTGGAAAGAGGAAAGTTCAATTTTTATATGTAAACGAAACTACTGAGGCTTTCCCACTAGGCAGTTAAGCGATTTTTAAAATAGACAGACAAAGCACTTTCCTTTATCACAGAAGATAGGGCCAAATTGCCTATAGGATTAACACTCTGCACGCACCAGCTGTCACTCTCAGATGAAACCCGAATATTACATTAGCTCTTCCCCCCTGCAGTAGCACACACGCTGGGTGAAGCTTACTTATGTGACAAACTCCTAAGGATGCACCCAGATTCTGAAGAATCCTAAGAAGATTCTGGGAGGAAAGTAAAATGTTACAGTAGTAGTGATGCTATAGTTACTCAGGATTCAGTAGCTGCAGTTCACCAGGGCTGACATGTGGGGTCTTACTACCATCCCCACCCCTTTCCCCCAGACAAAGCTGAGTGGAATGCAGGTGAGGATAGTGATAATAATGACTTAAGAGTTTCCTTTGTCTTACTGAGGTAGCTCGCATTTCTACAATTTATTATTAAAATACATGATTTGCATCAAATTCATAACTGAACTCAATAATATAGGGTGTCCCCAAAATGTACACATACTTTGAATAATTGTAAAGGCAGTGCTTATTAAAATATTAAAATTCTAGTTTAGCACTTCTTAGTTGGGATTCAGGAATCTGTAGTTTAACGGCTCCACCAGGTGATTCTCATCATGAGAGAAGTTTGGGAAACACTGCTGAACACGCCATCTCACATGGGAGAGAGAACTCCTGAGTTTTTATACCCCCTGTTGCTTTAGTAAGCACCTGATTTAGAAAACCGCATCACAGGGTCCTTGCTTATTTAGAGGGATTCCTCAGAGTCTGATTTTCTTGTGTCTTCAATTTCTTACAGTTCAAGCATTGGCTTATGAGAACAAAACAACCTCCAAAACCCAGAAAAAGGCTGGTTGTTCCACAATGACCAGAAACATAATTACACCAGATTTAATCAATTAATGATGACTTGCCTCGGCCTAAAGCACCTCGGTAAATACTTCAGTAAACACCTCCGAAGGCCAACTAGTCAGTGACAGCCTAATGCTTCTGAAAGATGGCCAATCAGTGGTGGACTCACTCCAGTGAACATGCTTCAGAAAACCAGCCAATCACGGACAATCTCTCCTGAATAACGAGCTTCTGAGGGTGATGTCCACTCCTAAGCAATCCCAAACCCAAAAATCTATATAAGGATTTGCAACCAGCTTTGCTCAGAGAGACTGTACCTCAAAGCACAGCTCTTTCTTGCTTCAGGAGGTAGTAAAGTCAGCCCTTTGTTTCACATATTGAGAGGTGGTCTTTTCCTCTGACACGTCTTACAATCTGTGCTGCATTCCCGACAAAGCGCACTGTTTAGAAATCATAAGTTTGCCACCACTGCTGAGGACCAGGTTCAGGAGAGTGGCAAGAGGGTCCTATTAAAGGTCCCTGACCACATGTCAGGAAAGCCCACCCCACACTGCATTTCCGGAAGTGGTGAGTGCTTTCCAAATGACTCTTGTGCAGATGCCTAAGCCACCACCAGAATGTAGCTGGAATCATATGCCCTATAGAATATTTTATTCAATACTCCTCTCCTATTAATAAAGAGATAATATGCAAATTGACCCTCACACCCTCACAAGATGGCTTCCTCCACGTTGTCACAAGATGGCCAGCAGGGGAGGGCAGTTGGAGACAATTGGGCTGGCATTTGGGGGCAATGAGGCAGGCAGTTGAGGGAAGTTGGGGGCGATCAGGTTGAAAGGGGAGCAGTTAGGTGTCAATCAGGATGGCAGGGGAGAGGTAAGGGGACAATCAAGCTGGCAGGCAGAAGCGGTTAGGGGCAATCAGGCAGGCGAGCGATTAGGAGCCAGCAGTCCTGGATTGTGAAAGGGATGTCCAACTGCTGGTTCAGGCCCGATCCCACAGGGACATCCCCCAAGGGGTCCCAGACTGAAGAAGGTGCAGGCTGGGCTGAGGGAAACCCCTCTAGTATTGATATAAAACATCAAAAGCCACTGTCTTAGTTAACTTATTAATACTTCTCCATATATGCATTCTTCTATAAAAAAATTATCGCTTTTTCTGCTCCCCAATACATATGGGTTTTGTGTAAGATCTACTTCTAGTAGGGACTGTCCATGTTTCAAAAACGACTTTGCCAGAATTTGTCAATTAAAGCCATAATAAGGCACTTTCCTCCTTTCTATGCCATAAGAGAATCGCGCAACTATTGGACTGCATTGGCTCTGGTCTAAGAAATGACATCTAGACATGAGAACACAGCACAAAGCCCAGACAGAGAAACAGATTTGCCTACAAATCTGGAAAAACAGAAAGCCGTAAATTAAAGTAGCTGTCTTTTTCAACTGTTTGTTTCAGACACCACTGTGCTAAACAGGTCCAACGTTTTGATTAATAACAAACCTAGACCCAGAGGAAAGAAGGGGCTATCGGCTTACACACTCCTTCAGCTTTAATATCATGATACTTAGCAGGGCTGGTTACTCAGCAATAATATTTAATCTTTAATAGAAATAAAGGCATAATCAAAAATGTTTCACCCATTTATCTTTCAACATGCTTCAATCACTTCATTTTCGAGAGCAAACAAAACAGTTATTATGATTTTCAGCATAATAAACTCCTGACCTATGTGCCTCCATAAATCAGACTGCACGGACTGAAAGCATGCCCACGTTTTACAGCCTCCGGTGAAAATACACATGCAGACTTGTAATACAGACCCAATTCCAGTGCATTGGGTCTGGTAGTTTACAATCTTGTATGTATCGACAACTCAATACTATTCACTCTGTGGCTGGTCATGGCATTGGCCCAATAAGAGCAGTGAATGTATTGGACTTACACACTGATCATTTACATATGAAAAATTTTAAAACTTGTTCACTTGAAGGCAAAGACAGAAATTTAGCTCTTTATCAAAAGTTTTACATAAGCTTAGATTCTCAATAAGAACATTGACTTGAGTGTGTTATAGAAATATGGAGGGTTACCATGTTACAAAGGCTGTGCTGATCAGGTAAGTGTTTTTGGTCCGAGACTGCGTGGGCTTACAGACAAAAATTAAACAGCCGAGTCTCTTAAAAGAAACCAGACCTTTACTGACCTCAGGAATTTGACAACCAGTTTTTAAACTTCTTACATAGTTGTGAAAAATAGATTAAGATATTACAGCAATTAATAATGGGAAACACATTCTCAGATGTATAGTAAATCAATCAAAATAGAATTCCAATATTAACGAGTCACTTCTGACTGAAACGTATTTGAATTATTTATGCTTCTATAATGAAAATGGCTATGTTTTTCACTGGGCAGTCTATAAACCACTCCTTCCCATTTCCAAGTCTCCCTAATTTAGGAACTTAGCACCCAACCCTTAGAATGTTATAGGTGTCCTAACTGTTCCGCACTATTTCTTCTTTTTATAATCTTTCAAAGGTTCCAAAATAACCTTTCCTGCATGTTTCTTTCACAGCGTTCTTTTGGGTGGGAACTATTAGCTATTGTATTGACTGAAATCTCAGCCTAACCCTTAAAACCTTCTAACAATGGGATCTTCCTATCTCACCAACCTCTTTTTCCTTTTGTTCATCAGCTCTCAGCATTCTGTAATTGCCTGTTTACTTAATTTTGAAAAGGCTGTCAGTTATTCGAGACACCGTGAATCTTGTTCACAGCTGTATCCCCAGTGCCAAGAATGGTGATTGGTGTGAATCAAAGTCTTCAGAACCTCTGTGTCGGCCAGGCCTGCTGGCTGGTACTCACTGGTTTGCTAAACTAACACTTGACCCTCCTTTTGTGGGCAGAGACTGTCTTTTATTTCTCTGATGCACTTATAAAATGTCTCACAGGTTCTTCAGAAAGTCCCATGCTCGGCACAAGCCCACCTTTCCATGACTTAACCCCAGCTCAGCACACAGACCACTGCTTTCCCACTGCACCCCACTGGTGAGTGCTAGTTTTTATGCGCTGAAGACTGAAGTGCTAGTTTTTACGCGCTGAAGACAGGCCGTTCGTCTTTCCCATTTCCTAGGGCACTAATATAGAGCTAGGTAGGCAATTTCTTTAAAGCAATGTTTCGCAAAGTCTAATCTGAGAGCCCTCCCTACCTCAATGCAGGTTGTACATTGGAATCAACTGGATGCCAGGCCTGGCCTTCACCTCCAGAGGT